GTGTGTGTGTGTGTGTGTGTGTGTGTGTCAGTAGTCTACAATCTGGAATGTAAATACACTAAAACATAACGGGCACCTCCCACACACACAAACAGCCTCGCTCAGCTCCGTCTCTGTCTCACACACACACACACGCACACACACATATTAACATATGTACCCTACAGGAACACAGTGAACTCACAGTGGGCAAGCCTGAGATTGCCATGGAGACGCAGCCATGTGATCAAGGAGGTGGTCACCACGGAGACGGATGCTGCTGACCTTTTTGAGACAAGGGAGGGGGCATTAAAGAGAGCGGGACAAAGCAGAGGGTTGAGTGAGAACGTGCTGACATATATTTAGTCCGAAAGCACMGAGAAAAGAGACAGGATGTTGCAGGTTTGATGTCAAATACTTGATAAAAAAACAAAACATTACTTTTCAGATCACAGATCTGTTTTTTCAAGGTAGGCCTGACATGTTTTTGGACTGCGGGAGGAAACCAACCCACAGGCCTGCTCTGGGGTTTGAACCTAGGACCTTCTTGCTGTGAAGCAACAGGGCTAACCTTTAAAGTGCATGTGACATGATTTTTGAATGAGTTTTTAAAATAAATATAAAGGCATTATTGGAAAGACAACATTATTAGCACATTTGAAAAATAATTTCCCGCTGCTGAGATGAACAGTTGTTGAGATACAGTATTTGCATGTGAAGGAACAGGAAGTGATGTCAAAGGGTAATGCCTTCATGGAACAAAGCATTGATCTAATAGCTAACAACACAGACTGTAGAGAAGAATCTGATGTTTCTTTAGATTATTTTGAGTCACTATCACAGAGAGAAAAAGACGAGCCAGAGTTCAAATAATATTGTTTCAATAAACAAAGATTACAGAGTTCTCTTTCTTAAAGAGTTCCCCTTTATTGTCACTTCCTGTTGCACTTTGGCTGATCCAATTTCAAAAGAAAATGTGCCAGTTATGGGACAAAATGGGTAAAATACCATGTTTTATGCTAAGTTTCTTATAAAAAAATGTGTTTTCTTCAGCCGGTTCGGATGTTATCAGTCCATTAAATGGACGTTATTAGTGGTTATCAGTCCCATAGAATGGCTTCAGACTGTCCCAACAGTGCCCCCTAGTGGGTTACAAGTGCCATATACGTTGGAATGCAACAATCTGCTACCGCCGGAGTCCGGTCTACTTTTTCGTAGCCCATGTCATTTTCTCTAAAACTAACCTTAGTGGTTTTATGCCTCATATTAACCAGATTGCATAAAAAACCTAAGTAGCTTTATGCCTCATACCTGCTGACAGTCTGAAGTCATTCTATGGGACTGATAATGGCTAATAACGTCCATTTAATGGATGATAACATCCGAAGCGGGTGGTTTTCTTTGACTTTTTGTTTTTGATAGATAGGCATGTCACAAGCACTTTAACCACCTTGCAAATATTTTCTCATTTTGGTCATAATTTTCAGTTTGACGTTCCTTTAGCAGCTTCAGGAAAGACAAATCAACCAAGCAAACAAACAAAAACTAGCCCATATAAACCAAGATGAGTGAGAGTACCTCCCTCTTTAGAGCTCCAAAGCTCATTCTACACATGTTCAAAGTTTAAACAGGTCACAAGAAAGTCATTTATTATATTACTAAATAGGTATTTTTAGATATTTTTTAAAAGTTTTTACACAACCACTCTTTAAGTTTGATGAATTTTGGAGATTTTATTACAGTATTTACAACTTCGGAGATCGACGATGTCACACTAACTCCAAAAAAGCTTTACTCTACTTGTACAGTTTTTACACCAGAGCTTGGATATTTTTGTCTTCTTTCACCCAGTGTATCTCTATCTACTAGAGCAGTGTTTTCCAAAGTTGGGGTCGGGACCCAAAGTGGGATCCTGAAATATCAAGGTGGGGTCCTGAAAAGATTTTCTGAATTAAGTACATTTTTGCCTTAGTTGTGGAGTGGTTAGTATATTTAAAATGGATAAATGTAGTATAAAAACATTTTTACTAAGCCCATGTTTAGTTGACCTGATACAAATGTTTATCATCCAAAAATAGTTGGGGGCACAGGTCTCTGCTACTGTTATTTTGTGGGTCAAAAGCTGAAAAGGTACCACTGCACTTTGGTTCCCAAAGTTGGGCTTGGGACCCAGTTATAGGTCATGAAGCACCTTGGATAATCTCCAGAAATCAATTTAAAAGGGAATAAAATAATAACTGATGTAATATTTTCCCTATAATTATTACAAAATCACAAAATAAGTATAAGTATTTATATTTGTGTACAAACTGTTTAGATTGTCAAAAAGCCTGTGTTTTTAGGGTTATTAACAAAGTTCGTGTACTCAGACCAGTAATATTTGGTCACAAGTTCTTGCCATGGATATTTTGTGGGTCAGAAGACAAAAAGTTTGGGAACCACTGTACTAGAGGACACATTCTTACAACTTCCCCCTGACTCCAGAGTTCCCAAATCCAAACTATCATTGACCTTCACTGCATCAGAGCTCACAGTTTTTTCCTACAAAACTGGAAATGAGGGTCTTTTGAACTTCTTGTTTCTCCTACATAAAACACTGTAGACACATAAAAACTTAGCAGACTATTCTGCTTCTTACGGTTCAGGAAGTTTTTTTTAATATACAAATGCTTTATTTAGTTTTAGCACAGTGATTGATTGAAGCTTGTTTTCTGCTCTGTGTTTCCAGGAAAGACACTAGTGTAATGTTACRGTGATCCTGATGAGCCACTGGCCTCAACTTAAATATTTCATTTAATGTCGGTTGTCTTTACACTATGTATATGTACATTTCATACATCAAACTTTGATATCAGCTTAGATTTTAAGAAATACTATAGTTGAGATTTTTGTACAAAGAAAGTTGATGCATGTTGGGATTTTGGTCTCTTGCTGCATTGGTACCCTTCAATTTCTTCGTAAATGTTCCAGTTTAGTGTATCAACAAGTAATGTTTGGAAAATTTTGATTTGTATTGTTGTGACATTGTCACATAATCGAGGACATGTTTGAGCTTCACACTGTAGCTGATAAAAGCTAATCCACATGAAGGGAGCCTGACCTTTGACCCCTCATGTGTGTTCAGGTCTTCACCACCTACTCTAACGAAGACTACGATCGAAGCAACAGTGACGTGGACCCCATGGCGGCCTCGGCTGAGTACGAGCTGGAGAAGCGAGTGGAGAAACTGGAACTGTTTCCTGTTGAGCTGGAAAAAGGTTTGGATGCAGTTTTAAAGTCACTCAGTCAAGTCTCTTATGTAACTACACACCCTCGCACACACAAGCACACGTAAAATGGCAGGGTTCTGTGTGAGGACATGCACTGTCTGCTTGCAACTCCATTATCCCCTTATGGGATTAAAGTTAGTCTGGATTAGCCTAATTAGCAGATAGTAATTCTGGAGGTAATGGATTTCAACCACCAACTACGCATGATGGCTGCTCTCAGTGCAGCGTAGTTACTACAACTCAAACATGGACTTGCATCAAATATGAATACAGTCGTTGTAATAAAGTAAACAAACTATTTTAATTTCAAGGTTTTATGCATCAGGAGAAAAAATAAATAAATAAAATCCCCTGCTCTTTACCAAATCTTGAATTATGCAACCTCAGATATACAACACATGACATAATCTGCTATCATCTACATGCACAGAAACTGAGCTGAAAAGGAGAAAGAGCAAAAAACAAGAATATTTTCTTACTGGTTCTATAGAAATATGTCTTAGATAAGTATGTAGTAAGTAATAAGTTAAGTACGGTCTTGCTTTGCAATGTCGCATAAAAACAAATCACAAGACTTGTGGAGGAATGTCCTTTGGTCAGATGAGACCAAAGTAGAAACATTTACCCATAATGCATGGCTCCATGTTTTGAGAAAAACAAACACATCATGTCGACATAAACACATTGTAACTCCAAAGCACGGTGGTAGAAGGTTAAGGATTCTGGCACCTCGCTGTCACAGAGTAGGTACAGCCAAATTTGTGGCCATCTGTAGGACAGCTGAAACGTCGGACGGTGATCTCAAACCCAGCAGCAAAATGACTGAAAAATAAAAGGTGTTGCAATGGTTCAGACCTCAGCCTGATGCAGTTAAATTTATTATCTTTACTTACTACTTCCTTTCATGGTCACCGGTGCCCATGTCCAGCAGTCACTGTGCAAAGGACAGGGACAGACCACTTACTGCAGGTCTTAATGCTCAATTCTGATTATTTGCAAAAAGTTTAGAGTATTTTGTGTGGATGTTTAYGTTATATTTTAAATGCGACCTCCATCTGAGTCCAGTGTGAACTCTCCACGGCCCTGTTTTGACCCGCTAGTTCAGAAGACGTGATGTCACATTCAGGTATCTGTTTACAGAATGAGCTAAACACTGATGCAACCTGTTATTTAGTCGATTCTGAAGATGTTGTTCAATCACAGCCAATTAAATAATTATCTGACCTGCTTGTTTAGTTCAGTGTTTATATCTGAACCTGCCTCTGACCGGATGCTCCGGTGAAGCATTTTCTTTTTGGAATGAATCGACGTGCTAAAGAAAATAATGGATCGAGTAATTTTAGTATCAATATGGTCCGTGACCGACGTTGGACGTTACTATCATAAGTTTTTGTGGATTGTCGGTCATCCAGGACACGGAAAATTMAAAGAACAAAGACAAATCAGCTGGACTTCTGTTCTGTAGCTGAAGACGTGTGGAGCTACAAGATTTCAACTGCATGACTCGGACCGATGCGCTCACCCCCACCTGACTGATGTAAATAGATGATACGAGATGAGCGTTCAGACTGCAGTCGCTTTGTTAACCTCAGATATGTATCTGATTCAGTACCACATACTGTAAAGACCTGGGTCAGATTTGACACATTCAGACTGTCACGAAAAAAACACGATATCAATCTCATTTGCCTGCAGTGTGAATGTAGCCTCTGAGACAAACGACCATTCACAGTCAYTAACACCTAGAGACTATTTTAGTTACCAKTTAACCAAACATTCATGTTGTTGRTCTGTGGGAGGAGAAACAAATGCAACTCTACTCAGTAACATCCTCTGCCAGGATTTGATACAGCAACTTTCTTGCTGAGAGGCAAGCTGGGACTCAGACGCCTTCTGGTGGGATTTCTGAATCGACCARGGCTATTCAACTGGCCACATCCGGCCCGCGGGTAACCTCAGTCCAGCTGGCCAATGAGTCACCACCCCCTTTATTTAACTTCTTWAGTCCCAAGGGGTTTTCTTGAYGTTTTTGCTCTAAATGCATGCCGAAATGTAATTGAGTGTATCTCARCTTTTACAAACTTTACTWAAATAATYTTGGTATCAAAATAAAGCTAACATTTGGGAGATTTCATCAGAAGTGTAAAGTATTCAAACAGCTGCTATGGTTTTAGAGGTATTGGGTATGGAACATAATAAAAATAAATCACTCTCACCTGAATATTTTTTTCATTATACAGTATATAACCTATTTAAAACCATAATGAATCGGACTAAAAATTGTGGACCTTACCTGTGCAAAGATTCATGCTGCAAAAATTAAGTGGAGCAAAGTTATAGAGGTTTTAGTAAAGAAATAATTTTGCGTTTTGTCATTCTGCACAGGACGGACCATGATGGTACCATTAATAAATGTTAAGAAATCTGAAGTTTTACATCCAGAAATTATTTATTTTTTCTTACCTACCTTAAAAGGCTTGTTATTGGATATTTATTCTTTCGAAAAGTTATCCAAACATTTATTTGTCACCATATACAGTATATTATATAAAATAATGAGAAATTACTGTATATTTGACTTCAG